TTATCAGTGAATTGTTGGAACATCTGTTGAAATTGGGGAGTTTTTAATTTCCTGGTGTGTGTGCGCCAAGATGGGATTTAATTTTTTTTTTAGCTAGACATCGTTTAGTCAAAATAATAGTAGAGTAGTTAAGCAAATGCTCCTAGTTCCGTGTCAGAAGGGACCGTTCTTGCTTCCAGCCTGGTCTTTAAAAACTGTGAAAATGTGCAGCAGGCTGATGTCACTCGTTTCTAATTAGAGCCTTGTTACATTCAATATTTGTGAGCACTGATTCTAGTATCGCAGCTGAGGGAAGGAAACCCCTCAAATGTTAATGCATCCGAGAGCGGGGTGTGTGAGCTGTATGAGGGAAACCCGCTGCTGCCATGCCGGGCCGAGGCCTGAAGCCGGCGGCCTTTCCTCTGGCCAAACTTCAATTAATCTTAGCAGAAAGGTGAGAACTTTTCTGCGCATCCAACTGGAATTTCGCCCTAAGATGGACGCTTCGCTAGGAGGGAGGGAAAAACCAAACTCAGTATCTGACATTTGTGTGACGCTCTGAACGAGAGGCGTGTTGCTCTCCGCAGGTCTGTCGCAGTCTCTGGGGAACCGGGGTGCTGCTGTGGGCCCGTGCCGGGGGACGCCCAGGGTGTTCGCTGCCACTAGACAGCAGAAGGAGGAACTCCCGCTTCTCAACGTGAGGACAATTTTGACTTGAACGTGTGTTTTGTGTGAGTAAGGATTTGGTTTTTACAGTCTGTCAGTCACATGTTTTATGATCTTTTATCGTAACGGCTGACTGACAGGTGAGAGAAGGAATGGTCATACTTCTCAAAAGCTTACACAAGCATTAAACAGTTGTTAATCGCGTTCTCTGAATGACAAACTGATAATGTGTAAATAGTTGGAATGAGGAGTTCCTTGTAGCCGTACAACACCTTTTATGAAGTTTCTTATTAAGCTGGGCATAATAAATCACTTAACAGGATTACAAGTCAGTAATGCAGTGTGTGGCGGGGGGGAAGAATTTTCTTTTCATGTACTGAAGTGTCTTGAAAGTAAGGTGTGCTGGAAGAGCCGTGGAGGATGCAACACCCACGTCTTAGATGCCGTCACTTGATGTTGCGGTGAGGGAGCTGAGGAGCGGCTCCAGCCGCCGCTGCCGCCCGCTCCTGTGTGAGACCACGGCGCGGCGTGGTTGGGGTCTGCTCGTTTTCTGTGTTGGGTTGTGGGTGGTGGGGGGCTGGGGGTTCATCAGGCCGTGTGCGTTGCCGCAGCAGCTGCTTTCCCAGCAGAGAGGAAAGGAAACTAGTGGGCCAGCTAGAAATGTCCCAGAGGCCAGATCGAGTCAGCATATCCTGCCAGCACAGGTAATCATTTAGGTTTACTAGTACAAGATGGTCTTGGCAGGGTTAAAAGTCTGTGTTTTGCAGGAGAGTTAAGGGGACTGTGGGTTGAGAGTTTGTGTTAAATCTCTAACGGTGGCAGGAGTTTGGGGGTGGTTGTTTTAAAAAGAAATAAAAACATAAGTTGTAAAGCCACAAGAGGGTTAAACAGTTGAACAATATCAACCGTTTCACTCTTAAATGATAATTAATATGGTGTTTTTAATTAGTGACTCAATTTCTTCTGCTAGCTCGGACTTTTCTGTTACTGTCGATGTTGTTTGGCCATTCTGAACATGGCCACGCTTTGTTCAACAGTCAGTGGCACCTGTGAGGCCCAGAAACTTCCAGCAAGAACAGGGTGGGAATGAGCAGCTAATGAGAAAGGCTCCAAAGAACAGAGAACTTCTTCCACTGGCAGAAAATCCCTTTAAAGGAGTTTCTTCCCTTTCCGGCCATGTGTCAGAAACCTCTGATAGAACGGGACTGAAAAATAGATGATAGATTTTAAGAAGCTGTAGTCCCCCCTCCCCCCATCAATAACCACTTGCATTTAGAGGGTGAAATGAATGAAGTTAATTACATCTACTCAAAATCTTGGTTGTATGAATTACTTAGATCTTTTAAAATGGAGAAATAATTGTTTGCAGGGTTCACAGGCTTTTTCTTCAGGCTTGGTTGGTTACTTTGGTTTATTGTCCCCATGATGCATGCTGCTATCTGAAACACTCTGGGGTGCACCTTTTAGAGTAATACAAGATGTCCAGTTCAGATTAAGGGCCACTGCAACGTTCAAAGCAAAAATACTGAAATAATTACAAAAATAGTATTAAAGACCAATTTCTAACAAAGATGAAAAGGAGCATGGATTCAAGGAGTGCAAATGTAAAGCAAAATAAAAGGGGAAGGTGCTTAGAGGGTATAAATACATCATGTAATTAGCAAAGAGAATGTCGAATATGCTGCTTGTCTGACAGTGTTTTACTTGTTCGCTTTGGTGTCATAATTTTCAACATGCAACTTTAACGGAAGTGTGTTTACATGTTAGGGTGGAAGAAAAGAAGGGCCAAAGAATAATCTATGCAATCAAAACTTTTATAAGTGGTGCATTACAGTGTATAGTATTCAAGATGAGGACTTAAGAGAATGTTTGGAGAGACCAAACATACATGATTGTGAGGCTTTAACTGATAATTTTGTTTTAAAGTTACCCAACATGTAAGGCTGACATTAAAGGTAAGCCTAAATTTAGGGCTGGGAGAAAACTTTGGCATCCAATTCAGTTTTCACTGAAGTGTGTGTTGTTTTTCTTAGGAAACTTTTCTGCAGATTTAAATTAAAACCTTTTCATGGTTTGTGTTTTTTTGTTTTGTGTGGTTTTTTGTTTTGTTTTTGTTTTGTGTGGTTTTTTGTTTTGTTTTTAATTAAAAATCAAATAGAAGTTTTTGATTTGGAAACGCTCCTCTGTGTCCTCTGGTGATTTAAACTTAAATTTCTGTATAATGCTCATTTACTGCTGTGCCCTGGGCTTGCACCTGGTCTATGCCTCCTGTGGCACCTCGTGAGCAGGACCTTCCAGGCTGTCTCTGTCCTTGTCTCTCCTGAAAGGCAGAACATGCTGTGTTTTGTGAAATGTAATTCAAAAAGACCCTGATGGTGCGTACATTAGTAGAGTTTTCCTGAAACATTGCAGCAGTGTTTCCAAATGGAAAACTTCAGATTTTCCAGTTGAAAGATTTGTGTTTCAATTTTCCATCAATAAAATTCTAATTCTCGTTGCGTACAAGTTCTCTTTATGCACAAAAGCAATGCTAACAGAGATTCATTGCCCAGGAGAAAAGGCAAAGGCATCACATATGCGATCCTAATACAAATAATTACTCCCACAACATACACAGTATGGTAATATGGGGTTAAGCAAGGCATGAAGGCTCACATGGTGGCCCAGCAAACATGAACAGCAACAGGATTTTGAACAGCTGTATTGTCCGGACTTTTAGTTAGGGCGCTCTGAACATGCACACTTGAAAAACCAGTTAAACAGCAACGTGTGCTGGCTGAGCACAGAGTCAAGCAAATAAGTGTGGGTGGACTTGGAAATCCTTTAAGGAAACAAATATTCTCAGCTGATGATACTTCTTCAGGGCATCAGGGATGTGAGGTGTCCTTCAGAGTCACAGGACTGCGGGTTGCATTCCTTTCCTTAATGACTGAGCCATACCGAAGGAAGTCGTACTTCCATTTCAGAAAACCTGTAGCATTAATTTCAGGGTTTTTTTTTTCCCTGGGTTGTCTTGGACTAGGTTGATTGAGAGATGAGCTCTATTTGGTTTGGTTTGTGCAGGAATTGCGTACCCGTGAGTGAGGTTCCCTAAGAGCTGTTGCAATAAAAGCAAAGTGATGTCTTGTCTTGTAAAATTACATTTTGGTAAAATACATGATCTAATCCATCCCCCCCCCCCCCCCCAATCCACACAGAGTCAAAATATTGAATGTGAGTACTGGTTGATTGTACTGATTAGAGGAGGCAGTAACATAGAGGGAGCGCATTTCTGAGAATTGGCAGTTTTAGAAAGAATCAAAATCTTTTTATTTGTTTGTTGGGCGAGGTATCATAGGGACTTGTTCTTTTTCAATCTGTGTTTTGGGTAGTTACTAGTTTCACCTAAACATTAGAGATGCTCTGTGCTTGTCATCGTTTAATTGTTTTTATTATGTTCTGCTGAGAACACGGAAGCCCTTTCTTTTCTGTTTGTTGCTGTGAAATTGTTTGAAGTTTTACAACTTCACAGATATAGACTGTATCAGCGGTTTTTAATTGTGCATATTTATGATTTTAGTGTTTTACAAGATTCTGGAGGTTAAGCCCCTCAGCTGTCACTGTTCTCTGCTGCTGATGGAAACACTCTAGCAGCAGCAAGTAAACTGCTGGCAAAAGGAATTGCAGCACTAAGATAAAGTTGTTTCTAATCTAAGTGCTTCTCAGTCGAGAATCGCAGTATGAGGAAAAAACATATTCAAGGAATCAGTCAATTGTAGCTTTTTTCTAATGTACTGTATTTACAACCTCTGACAACTTGAGCTGAGCGCAGCGAAAACCTGGCCTAATTGCAAGGACTGCTAAAAAATACTTGCACTTTCTTCCCCTGAGTAAATGGTTATTTCTTCAGGATGAAATGCCTATCTGCATTATGAAAGAAAACAATAACAGTGCTGTGTCTGCACTTATTAAGTGGTTGGAAAAGAATGTACAAGTCCATATTTTTTGTTGAATGTACCTAGATTTCAGATCACACACTGGAGCATATTCCCTGATCCTTCTAATTCTAAAGGAAATATTATACATTTTCATGATACTTTCATTACCACTTTTCACTTCCAAGAATGTCTGTAAGATTTTGGGTACAGTCCTGTGCAATAGCATGCCAAGAGTAAGCCTTTGTAATTCTGGAGTGCAAGTGTAGAAAATAACACAGGATTTCATAATGTATCAGTATTCATATCAGCACCTAAATGTTTATGATTTGAAAGAGATAGCATTACTTCTGTGACACTATATATATTTAATCGACTTTTTTTTTTTTCCCCCAACATCGCTGACTTAACTTGTAAAATACTGTTGTTTTTTCATCACAGGTCTGAGGGTAACGGTGTTACTAACATCATCTCTCATGGTATTGGGAGCTGGCCTGAGATGTGTTCCAGTTTCAGACCTAGAAATTAGGAAGAAGTAAGTGAATTAGTTATTTTTAATATACATATTTTATACTTTCTGTTAACATAATTTTTGCTGCTACTGCAAAGAAATGTTCATACATATTTTCTGTATGAATTTGATATGCCAAATGTTTGTTGTGCGGACATGGGCTTACGTGCTTCTTTGCTTCTTAAATTGATTTTTCTAGTCTTTCTACATAGTATCTGATGATCAGAAAGCCCTTTACTAACTTGAGTTAATTAAGCCTCACCCCATTCTGCATAACTACTATTAATCTGTTTTGCAAACAAGGAAGCAGAGATTTAGAGAGGTTCAGAAACTAGCCCAAGATCACACAGGGAACCATGCCACAAAACCCCAAAATATGTAGTTTGTATGTAAATATTAAATAATTAGTTCATGTTTCTCATAGTGGATGATGGGATTGTGCAGTGAGCCTGATGAATTTACGCAAAATGGCCTTTTTCATGCAGTATCTTCCAGTCTGCATTCTGAAGTAGTCTTGTACTTTCTCTGTGGTCGAAATGAATGCCTTCTGTACACATGCAATTTAAGAGTTTGTGATAGAGACAGATTCCTTCCTAAAAATCACACAATCCAAATAATTAAATCATCTCGTCGATGTGTCCTGAACTTGTGAATCCTCATTAAGTACAGGAGTAGCACTTGTTTTGTACAGCCAGGGAATATGGATCACTTGTTCACTTAACTTTCTTTTGCCTCTCATGCTGAAGGAGGAAGGTGTACAGGCATCACTAGATTTTTCTGCTTCTTTAAAAACAGTAGTAGCACTAGCTCTTCACTAGTTATGCTTGCATAATATGTAAGCACTAAGAAAAGAACTTATTCACAGAAGGGTTTTATGTGAACACTGCTCCCACCCCCAACCCCCACTCCTGCCCCTTGAATTCTAGTCAGCTTCCAGGCAGTCCTTGTATTATTTCAGCAAATTCCTTTTTTCCCTTAGTATTGCTTACCCTGAAAATCTGCTTGGAAACCTTTAAGTTGAGAAAGAAAATGTTTGGTGTGAAGTAGAAAGCAGATGACTGGGTACCATGGGTAAAACAAAGGAAGAGGTTCAGAGGGCTGAGAATGTAGTAACTGTGTTGATTGTAAAACTGGCCCTGATCAGGAGTAAGTACCTAGTATGTAATGAATGGCTTATTAAACTAAGTGCAGTGTGGCAAGTAGAGGGGGGGATGCGATTTCAGTTCTTAGGTGCTTAGTGAGGGTATAAGGAAACCCAAGGTGCTCCTGATGTTAGCTGCCCAGCGTTGCCTATTTCAATGTAGTGTTCAAGGACTCTGTGAGCAGGGGAGGCTGAACTAACCATATTGTGCTACCATTCACAGTGACCCTTAAGGTGAAAATGTACTGTTAAGGTGGTCAGGAAGAGCTGTCCTCATTGTGCCCTTGTTTTACCTTTTCTCAAGATGCTAAGGGGTGCTCAACATCCAGTTCATCCATTCTGACCAATCTTGGATTAAATATATATATATCTTTTAAATGGGCTAGGTGGCTTAAATGCAATGAAATGTGGTGTCTTATTTAGCTTTTCATTTATGATTTATGCCAGAAGACTTGTGCTGCCCTAGACTTTACCAAAGCAAAGATGAAGACTGTAAGAACCCGAGAAGAAATTCCCAAATGAGATTTAGATGTGAGGTATCATTTGGGGAGTGGGAAGGAGAGTTTCCACATGTTGTGATCACCTTTAAACAAGGTTTTCCAGTATAACTGCAGTGAGGAGACCTAGGAGAACAATGAAATAAATGCCTGAGGAGAAACATTCAAAGAACAGCTTCTTTAACTGGGGAAAGAAAGGCTGTGGACTGTATAGAGTCTGACGAGATGCCTAAAATATGATGAAACATTTTATTGAAAACTATATAGGCAAAAAAAAGAGAGCATGACCAGAATCCTGATGGAAAAGGTTACAGATTTCATTTATTCATGCTATGAAAATATGCATCATCTTCAGCTGAAATTGATAAATTTGCTTACTTAGCCTACTCCAAAAAAAGAGACATTTTCAAGAATTGCAGCTCTACCTGAGGAAGTAGTTTGATCTTTTACACAGTTTGATTAAAAATCTACAGAGAATTAATTATAACTGTGTGAAGCAAAAGGATGGTTTTCAGTGAAGGTTTCTTGAGACATCGTAAAGAATTGTACAGACTTACGATATTATACCAGGTAACCTGCACTGTTTTGAGGGCTAAGACTGAAGGCCGATTTTCATCAATTACTGGAAGCATAATACCAAATAAAATAGTGTTTTTGAGATAAGCATTACTGCTTAATGCATTAGCAACAACCGGTGGAACACTAAACTATGCACTTTGAATATGTATATGCGTTCATATGACAGCTTGAACATTACAGAGCCAGTCAGATGAACAAGATCACACACAAGCTAATACTGGAGTATTTCAGAAGTCTGTGTAACTGGAATTTCTTTAAATGTTTTTGCATGTGTTTTTGTAATGTGTTCTGTCAGTCCCTGGATAATCTGCAGTAATATGCTGAAGGATTTCCACGGGACATTTATGTCAGAGTTAAGGTACATAAAATTACAAGAATGTTCATGAGGTTTGTCAGGTTTAGGGGGGTTTTTTTCCTACTTTGTAGTTCTCTCTGCTCCCTAAGCTCTTGTAATTTAACATTAAGGAGAGCTACTAAAGCCCATTGCCTATCAGAGCAATCACAGACGTGAGGAAATCACTGTTAAGACTGACTATTAATCCTGACTGCTTTATGCTCCTTATCTCACACAGACCTGTAATATCCAAGTGCATTCTTAAGCTCCTTTCTAGTCTGTAATTATTCTTTTGGCTCTAGCGTGTAACAGTAGCCTGTCTTCAGTTCTCCGAGTCATGTTTTAAACACAAATGTTAACCTCTGTTTTCAGTTCATTCGATGCCCATGTATATGCATGGCTTGTATGAGGGAGAATTCACGTTGCATATTTGAGTGTGTCTTTTGAAGCAGCTGTTCCTTATGGTCAATTTTCATTCTCTGCCAGTGTGTGACCTAAAACCGTACTGGGAATCCGTGCCAGAACTGCATAAATTCAGTGAAGGCTGAAGAGGGAGTGCATGACAAAAATGTGGAAGTATGGACTTCCTCAACTGTGGAAGTTGAGGAACCAACCTATACATGGACTAGTAAAGTCCCTCTCATGTACACATATGCTCTTACTTTCCTGCTTTCCTCCCCAGCCCAATAACCTGTGAGGTTACTGTGTGTATCATACAGACAAGGAGGTTAAAAAGAATTTTTCTTATGTACCACGTGCTTCTGGGTCTGTCAAATGTGCCAGTTATGTGACAGTAAATTTGACTTTTAAAAATAAAACCCCCAAACCATTATTCCTTTCTAAATGTTATGAAAACCTCATTTGTCACACCTATTTTTTTTAGTTCATAGTTTATGTGTATTATATAGAACATGAAAAAAAGACATTATCAAATTGTACCATTCCTGAACTTGTACCTTCTTCCCTTCCCTACAAGAGCATCGCTAATGCTTTTTGCCTGCATTTTGTCCAGTCCTTTCCTTTTTGACTACTGCTTGGCACTGAGTGAATATTCTCATTGGACTCTTTTAGAATGTGACTATTTTATCCTGAACATTAACATTACTGGGAGGCCATTTTTTAATAGACAAAATCAGGATTGCTTTTTTCTCCCCACATAACACTTCATATTTATCTCATATTCTGTGTTTAGGAATAGGTTTACATACAGCTTAGGTCTTCCATATGATTGTAAAATAATAAATCTAGGCAAAAAGCTGTATGAGCTGAAACTTATAAGAAAGAAGGAAATAAATGATGAAATCGGCCCATAGCCATAAATCTGTGGCTTTTAAAACTGACCGTGTGATGTAAGACTTCTTAAAATGTTTTGAAAGACAGGATAATTAAAGACATGGAAGTAAAGGATGTAACATAATTTGTCATTTGTATTGAATCTATTAATTAAGCAATTTATTAGAACTTAGTATACTGTGGGCTGGTTGTGTTTGGCCTTCACTTTAGATTTCACAACAGAGAAGTAGTTACTGACGACCTTGAGTCATGGCAGTGAGAGGGCACTCCTTGGCAATAAGTACTATTAAAACATTTGTTGGGAAGCCAGCAAAACAATAACATGGAGAATTACAGTGGAAACAGGAGCGGTTATTTACAAAGTCATTTATGGGGGACACAGCAGTAATTGGTAGATCCTGTAAAGATTTTTTTCTTTAATAATACCATTTCTTAGGATTTTGAATTTTTTTGCCTACTCTTAGATATATTGATGTTAACTTTTTCCTTTATTATATTTGAAGATTTGCTCTTGCCACATCTTTGGTACGTTTTGTTTCTGTTAGCTAGTTGCAACCTAGTTTGCATTTTATTCCTGTTAGACTTACTGTTTAATAGTTACACGTTTTCCCTTTTTCATCCCTGAAAGCCTAAAGAATGGCATGGGATCATCTCATTATTTGTCTTTCCTGATCCTAAAACAACCATGAGCCACCATTCTCATGCATGAAATTACCTCAGGAAGAGGTAATTCCAGTAAAGATAAGACATAATTAGGATTCTCATAGTCCCTGGCAATACTGAACACACTTCTGTGCTCAAAAAACCACCCCAAACTGGAGCAGCTGTGGAGACGAGGGATTAAAATGTTCCAGGGAATGAAAAGAGCCTTTTAGGAGACGATGGTAGAAGAATCTGCATGTAAGAAATAAAGAGAGAGTGAGCATTTTGTGCACTGCCTAACTCACTGGGGAAGAGAAATGAAAAAAGTATTTAATCTAAAGTGTGGTTCTGGGAGTAAAAAGATGAATAAACATACCTGTTTGTGTGCTGTAGCTCAGTGAGCATAGGAGGAAGATGTTAAGATGGAGCACTTGCCTGGTGCTGATGGCACTTGCTGGTTTGTGATTTGGCTGCAGTGCTGGGGGAAGGCTGAGCTGGGTTAATCCATAGTATCAGAAAAAGAGGTAAGTGGGGAAAA